TATATAATTTTATATAATTATATATATAACATTTTTTTCCTGGGAAGGTATTCTAAAATTTACGACTCATAATACTATAGCAAGAAAGTTCTCGAAAAATTAAATAAGAAAGTTATTTATAAATTTGTATTTTAAGTAGTAACATTTGACTTAAGTTTAAATGTGGCCAATTACAGACTACGTTTAGATTTTTAGATAGTCACCTACCCATGATTCGCAAGTTAATAAGCGCTGGGTATTCACTTCAGCACGTTTACTAATACTCACAGATGACCATCTAAACATAATCTGTAATTGGCCATATTTAAATTCTTATATCTGAGAAATTATTGCTTAATATATAAATTTACAAATAATTTTTTTACTAAATTTTCGAAAACTTGCTAAGTCGCGAATTTTGAAACCTTGTATAGCTACGCATTCATAACAATGCATTGAAAAAAGAATATGCAATTTATCTTATTGCATTTTATGATGTTGACAGACATTTGACATGACCACTATCATAAAGGTTAAATACGTTGGTATGAAATCATTATCTTCTTAAATAGGCCATAATATAATTATAATTATAATTTCAGAATATTTATTAAATGGCGATGACGCTGGACATCCAGAAGTCACAGCTGTAGACAGAGAGGTACTGGTGAATATAAATTGTCCAATTAGGATGTTACTAAATTATATAAGAAAAGTTGCACGTGTGAATGGTAAATGAAAATAAAATAAAAATTTTTAAACGATATGAAATAATTAACTTCGCTATAACAATAATTTTACCAATATATCATACGATTTCGATTTTGATAAATTATAAAGTTTTAATATTACTTTTAATTATTAAAATGAATATAAAAATCAATATCTCGTACAAAACAATTTTTTTCCAGGCGAGTTCGATTTGTGCGATGAAATAAGTTGTCATCCGAAGAGTACATCTTTTTATGAACCTTGTACACGTGGAACAGATATTCTTCAACCAGATTTAACATATTTTATCGTTACTTTCGAACGTAATAAATAATAATATTATAACTCTATTTTTTTATTGGAATTACAAAAGACATTTTTCAGGGGATGAAAATGGACAAATGATAAACCATACGCCGCTTTTAACCGGAAAGGCAGCCAAGAGATGTTGCGATATTCTTTCAAAAATCCAAAAACCATCGCGAACAGTTTCCGTTAAATCTGTACTCAAAAAGTATAATAATGCACAATAAATCGTTACCAATAAAGAACGTTACTTTATAAAAAATCACAGTTGTATTATAAAGTGCATGTATTTAGATAGAGTTAATCTATGAAAAAAAATAGATAGATGTGTGCAACTCATGTTCATGTATCAAATATGTTTATAATGTAGATAAAGGAGTAAAAGTCATAATGGTTTGACTTAATTATGATTTCAAGAAACAAAAGGTTTTTTCAACATATTTGCTTTAATAGACCACTAATTCAAGTGGAGACTTCAAGTCGAGATTTAAACAAAGTTACTTAAAACGGATAAATAATGGTACAGTACTACTACCATCTTCAGCCTTTCATATATACACAATCAATTTGTCACACACCAATGAAAATATATTATGAAAATTGAAAAATTTATTACGCATATTTAGAGAACTATACTAAAAATACATTATATACATCATTATATATACATATATGTGCCAGAAATTCTTATAATAAATAACAATATAATGTACGGACAATGAGAGCGTTACACAGCGCGGTAATTGGTGCACAATTTATACAATAGTCTAATAATATTCATACAACATATATTAAAAATGTACAGTGACTGTCGATATGTTGGAATTATGTTCTATGTGATTCCAACATCTTCCAACTATTGTCAATACATTTACGATAATGAATTTGCTGAAGATGGTTTGAAAGAAACCGAAACATCCAAATAAGCTGGTATTAACAGTCACTGTACATTTTTAATGTATATATTTTTAATATATATATTACGTGAATATTATGACTATTGTATAAATTGCGCACCAATTACCGCGCTGTGTAACGCTCTCATTATCCGTACATTATATTATTGTTTTTTAATTTCGAGAGCCCGATTAGTATTTAATTTTGATCTTATAATAAATTTTCATCTAATTCTCGAATGCTCTTGTCTTCCGTCGTGATATCATAAAACTTCCCATGCCTTCCAATTCCATGATCGACAAATTTCTTGGCGCCTGGGACACCTTCCTCCAGTATCAAATGAGAAGAATTGTCTTTCTCGAACTGCAATGACTCTTCTATTTGTTTTGGTGAAAACGTGCTAAAATATGCTGAAGCACGATCTGCTAATAAACTTTTCTGCGGAAATTTTACAAGAGAATTCGCCAAGTTCATTGCTGTACCCAAAGCTAGAAAAGATATACTTGAAGATAGACACATATCATCAATGATTTTATATAATCAAATGGCTTGAAATAATATCAATAAAAAAAAAAAAATGCAATAAAATTCCGTTTATCTATATTCCACTTATATAAACAAGTTCATGCTAAGTTCTGAACTCATCAGTATCTGAACTCATAGTGGAACTCCTATTATCCAAATTACAGCACCATTTAGATAATAGAAACTTCATGTGTTCAACTTCAGTTTTCTGAACATCAGCTCCTATTATTGGAACTAATAAATAGAGAGGAAAATTAGACCGGTATTCATTGTCCATTCTTATTTCAATCTTAGGTAATATCTTAAAATGCAATATGGTTCTGTGATTAGTTTGACATTTTAAGATTTTTAAATATAAGAATCAACTATGAATACCAGCTTTAGTGAATTTCTATTATCTGAACCGTTATCAGAACTGTCTTGTCCTTCGACATATTCAGATAAATGGAGTTCTACTGTATACAAGTGAAAATACTGCACAATATTATCTCAATAATTATAATTTATTCTATAAACCAAGGATTGGATTCTATGCAACATGTTTTTTTTATAAAAATTAAAATAAATCCATAAAAGAAGCATACCTGTACCACAACTTGTATGTTTATGTGCAATTCCCCAATTGAATATTTCCTGTGCAGTAGCTAGTCTCCCTGTTAATATCAGATCCATAGCTCTAGAATATCCAATCATGGCAGGCAAACGGACAGTGCCTCCACATGAAATTGGAATGCCAAAACGTCGATTTAAGAAGCCTACCATCGCTGTCTCCTCTATAACTCTCAAGTCGCACATTAAAGCAAGCTCGAATCCTATTCCAACAGCATATCCACTCAAAGCTGCTACCAATGGCTTCTTGGATAATTCAGTTCTATTTGCCTATAAAGAACCAAAAACTTTTAATATTCTTAACAAATATCCTTAACAAATTCATAGCTTCATGTATAATGCAAATATACCAGTAGTCCAAAATGTGGTATACTTTCCTCGTTTTCACCATCATAATTCGCGATTTCTTTGAGATCATAACCAGCGCAGAAATTGCCTCCTACTCCATATAACACTCCTACTAATGACTCTTCATTACTTTCAAATTCATCTAACGTTTCTGATAGCAGATGCGCGGTTGCTACGTCGAGGCAATTCCTCTTTTCGGGACAGTTAATACCAATTGTAGTGATTTTATCCATCTGTTTCACCAATATCGTTTTCTCTAAAATAAAACACGTGTTACCAATGATAACTGCTTGCAACATTTTTCATATTTCAAATACATACCTTTGTCTTTGTCAATATCCGCATTCGCAGCAGGTTGAGAGGTTAGGGTGCGTCGTATGTTATTTCTTAATATACGACCAAATGAAACGGACAATTTTTTTAGAGAATGCATTCTTCGTGCTTTAATCTCCCGTAACAATTTATCTTTTACTGCTGTTATTAAAATGTCAGATTTTGTCAAATTTAAAATACGTCATGTAATAGCAACCTCTTCGATAAGTAATAATAATAATGCACAAAAATACATTATACAAAACAAGACGTTATAAACTTCTTTATTTCTTCTCCTTTTAATTTTTTTATGACAAGAAATAAACAGATTTGCGTTTAAAAATGAGTTCTACAAAACTATACGTTGTAATGCGGCAAATCGACCACAGTGAGAAAAACACAAGCATGGGTTTCTTTTTTGACCGACCGGTGCGGCGGTGCCACCGGTGATCGCTCGGAAATTGTTGCCAACCTTAAGACGTATATAACACGCATTCTACAATAAGCCATTAGTCATAAATCAGAAGTTAGAAGCTGGAAATTGACAGTCGTCAATTTCCAGCTTCTAACTTCTGATTTGTGACTAATGGCTTATTGTAGAATGGCCTGAATCAGACTACGCATTGAAGATTGAGATTGAAGATTGAAATTTGATCAATAAAAACAATAGGAACTAAAATTCCTTTGTCCTCATTGGTCAAATTTCAATCTTCAATCTTCGATCTCAATCTTCAATGCGTAGTCTGATTCCGCCCTAAGTCTGTAAAGTTGTTACGACTGAAAATTAATTTCACATTTATAATTAAAAATTTCTCAGAACTAAAGTAAAAAGTTACATTTTGTATAATAAATATTTGTATAATAGATTTGTGTGTATATATATATATAATAGATGTTTTTTTATAATAGATAATACTGATAATAGATATACAAAATTAATGATTATGGAATAATAGCAAATTAGCTAGCCGTGCACAATTTGCGATTTGAAATTTGCGACCGAAGTTTCACCTGTATCGAATATCGATCTATAAATGTAAACTCAGCATTGATATTTCAAAATATCAAAGTCTAGCTGAAATATCGATTCAAAATATCGATATCTCAACTCAAAAACATCGATAATATTATGAAATATCCATACTGTATGGATCCCTATATATATAATTTATATCACTATATTTATTTCATTTATATATCATATCTATACATATGTTTTTACAATAAATTTGGCAGTTATTATTCTGATACATCATGTATTCTATAAAACGCATGATGTATCATGTTATCATTGGCTGCGTTCAGCAGAACGTTTGTTTTACAACTGTTGGAAGTTTCCTTCGCGCTGATTGGATCATACTTTTAGATCTAGAAGAATGGTCCTATCTCAGCAGACAATCATAAAACGGTTGCAAAACTGTTGAGTCTGCTGAACGCAGCCTTTGTTATTCACTGAATGTTAAACAAAAATAAAATGATACATCTAATCATGCGCATAACCACGGATCTACAATAGGGTTTTAAGCCTTAAGCCATAAGAAATGGGCGAATCACAGTCGATTATTCCCCTCGGATTCGACTGTAATTGGTCAATTTCTTACGACTTAAGGCTTAAAACACCTATTGTAGATCCAGACTTAAGGCCATCACACGTACAAAAATTTTAGTCGTAATCATAAGGCCTTAAGCAAATCGGCCAATCACAGTCGAGTGTTTAAAAATTCGAGATCTCAATTTTGATTGTGATTGGTTGATTTGTTTGAGACTTACGATTCCCACTAAAATTTTTGTACGTGTGATGGCCTTTATCCCGGATCTACAATAGGTGTCTTAAGTTTTAAGTCGTGAGAAATTGACTAATTACAGTCGAATTCGAGGAGAATAATCGACTATGATTCGCTCATTTCTTATAGTTTAAGGCTTAAAACTCTATTGTCCGGACTTATGGAACCAAAGGACCATATCCTCGTCAGAGTTCCAAATATATTATTGGACCATTTAAAATTTGCCCATGTAAGAATACATCCGTCTATTTATTCACCTCATGTATAATTCCTTTCGGGATGCACTTCAATCCAATCCTTCATGATCGATAGTTTTTGACAGTAGCCAATCGATGAAATTCAATGGAATCAAGAGAATAAAACGACCAAAAAAGAACAATAATTTAGGTCAACGATCGCTTAGAAGAGATGAGGACGAGCCAAATTGAAGCCAGGAGATGTGGAATCAACTACCTGAGCTGATATTGACACAGATATTCGACTATCTTGATCGCACTGATCGCGCCAGCGTCAGCCAAGTCTGTCGATCATGGAATCGCACGTTGTCTTCACCTGTGCTCTGGCGATCCGTCACAGTTCTCATCGATCGCGATTTACGCGGCGATTTCCCCCTAGCAGGAGAGCTGGCCGTAAGAGAATTTTCCGCAGTCGATGAAATTATTTTCGGCGCGAATTTAATTAAATATAGAATTTTAAAATTTGAGTTATGATACCAAGATCGTGAATTTGAAGAAGAAAGTATAATTCGAGAAAAAGCCGATCTACTTTGGAAAGTAGGCAAAAAAGAGATAAAAAATAAAGATATTGCAATAATAAGAATTAGAAACTCACTATTGTATTATATTTCTGCAAATTTAAATTTTCTCGAAATTTTATTGAAAAATCTTCATGGACCTCTGATTCAATCGCTTTAATTATTTTAAGGCAATCTTGAAAATTTGCTATATTATATTGTCATTACGTTTGTATGACATGTTACATTCAATGTGGCTAATATTAGGGAGTTTTTGCAATAACGTGAATCCAGATACGGTGAACGCTAAAGTCACGCTATCCTTTTCTTAATTAGTTGTTAAGAAGAAGATAACCCGACCTTAGTGTTCACTGTATCTGGATAAACGCTATTGCAAAAACTCCTTAATGATAATATAAATCAACTAATGTTATTGACAGGCAAAATATGGACAGCATATGCGCAGCCTGGAGCTTGCTTTTTCACAACCGTACATCTCGCCGAGACAAATTAGGATCAGACGCAACATTCAGGCTGAGGCAGGCGCCGATTTTCTCGCGATCGTTCGTGCCAAAGACATACAGCTGCGGCAATTGACATTAACGAACTGGATGTTCGGTTACAAATGGGGTAATAGAGGAATACTACTCTCTGCCCTCGCGAATTTTCTGCGGTAATCAAATTGTTTTTGTATTGACCTTAATTGATAAAATGTAAGAGCTTATCCCAAGATCCCCTTTATTTTATACAGCAGTCAACGCAGCCTGGAAATCCTGAGCTTCTTAAATGCCGACTTTGGTGTGACTGACGTCTTGCGACTGCTTGGAACAGTTGCCAAAGGATCTGGAGAACATCTAGTCTCCCTGGATCTCCGCGGTACTTTCAGAGAGTGGCAAGCTCCTCATGACAATCCAAAGCACGTAAAAATATTAGAAAATATTTTATATATACATGAATATATAAATGAGAATTAAATTAACTGTGTTCAATGAAAATTTTAAGAGCATTTTCATAATTTGAGGATTTATTCGCGTAACAATTTTATATAAATCGTGATTGACACAAGGTGTTTGAATTATTTTTATAGGTACTTACGCTTACTAGGTCGTTTTCATGCGCTAACTCTGTTGAAATTGGACTATCCGGCTTTATCGAATCATGCTCTTGATGCTCTTGCAAGCGGAGCATCAAAAACGCTGAAATATCTGTATATATCTGTGAGAGATTCGGATTCTAGGCAACACATGGTAGCGGACGCTGCTTGGCGCAACTTGGTGTTAGCTTGCCCTGACTTGACAGTGTCCTATACTATAGGTATAATATTGTTGCTATATATATTCTATGATGTATCTGTTTTTTTTTCACTTCCAGAATTGTTAGATGATCATAATTTTATTTTATTTTTTATTATAAGTTTTCTAAAAATGCAGAAATTTAATTTAATACGAATAGATTTATAACATTGTTTATTTGTATTTGATTGATTATTATTTGATTTAGATGCTTAAATTGGAAATTGTTAATAAATTCACAAAAAATATTATTAGGCACAAAGATCCGCCTTATCCGAATACGTTTTCCATTTATTTGTGTTTAAAAATAAATTTAATTTTCATTCATGTATCTATTATTTACGGATTCACTCAGAATTATTGCATCATTCAGCTTTTCAAGTCTGATTTTCAGTGAACATCTCGCATTACGAGGATATGTACTACTTGCTACTGCCTAGTGTCCCTCTAGCTAAGTTTCATATGTTCAGTGGACATGTATGGGATCAAAGCAGATCCCGTAACTTCAGAAACACAATTGGTCTGATAATTACTCAATACACGAATACCTTAGGTATTTTACTAGCTATACTTGCTAATCAATTTGAAGAACTTAATTAATGATATAAAGTAAATTATTTATTAGTACTGTCGTATTTGTTATATAAATTCTGTAAATTATAAATTGAATTTTTTTCCATAAATAAAAATTCTGTACCTGTGTCGTTATCAGAATAGGATGAGGAAAAAATATCTTCTCTTGCAGTTGAAGTTATGCTGCAGCTTAGGAACAATCGTGAATCACTCGATGATTTGTTAGTGTCCATGCTGATACGTTGCAAACGTTTGATGAGATTGCAATATGATGGAATTATAAGGAGCTTCGAGACTTTACGCGAGATATGTCAACTCCAAGCCGAACGTAAAACCCGTAAGTAGGAATATTTTTTACGGCGTCAATAAACATGATTATATAAATATGATCGCAGATTTCAGGACGATACATGTAAAACCTCGGAATGTCAATATACAAAATCGGGCTATATTAAACGATATTAATTATCGATACGATCGCAAAATGCACGAACAAGGAGTCGATTTTCGGATTGAAGATATCACTTCGATCTTATTCTTCTATTGATGATTTATCTTGCTGTTAATAACTTTGGGTGATTTGAAAAAAAATTCTGTACCTATTTTGATGTTTTGTGACTTCATGTTTTCTTTTTTGTTAAATAACGTGATGATAAAATAATAAAATTATTAGAAATGAAATAATATACAATTGTATTGTAACAGAGCAACAAGCAGTGTGTAATATATAAAAATATATAAATATTAATACTGATTAACAACTTATTTTAATTTAAATGATTAATACATATATATATACAGGGTGTCTAAAAAAACGGATCGAAACACAATGAGGACGTAGATTGGATCAAGGGGTTAAACGTTAATATCTCGTTAAATATTGCGTCAACTGCAAAATGGTACAAAACTGTTTTGTTCCCCTTGATCCAATCTACGTCCCCATTGTGTTTCGATCTGTTTTTTTTTAGACACCCTGTATATATATATGTATGTTTTGACATAATAATACATATACGAGTAAGTTATTATAAAAATTATTATTTATTTAATATATATAATAATTAATTTATATAAAATTTATATAAAATCATTAAATTGCATTTTTTTTCTACATGTTCTCACTTTATTCACAAAGATAAAAATAAATAACGGTTACGTAAAATAGCAGTAATTATTTGTATAGAAAAAATATATAATAAATCAAAATTGCATTATTAATTATGAAAATCTGATTATATTATACTTTACACAACAAATGCTAATATTCGTGTATAATAAATAATACATATATCACAATCAAGAATATTTTTTATAAAAAACATGTAAAAATGTATTTAAAAAATACTTTTAAATTGTATTGCAAAATGCATTTCACTAATATTCAAATGCTTTTAAGTATTTTTTATCTTTTTTCGTCAAATCTAGTAAACTAATATAAAAAAACATTTCTATTTAGATGTTTTAAATGTGTCTATTTTTTGCTTTATTTAGTAGATATGCATTATTATATCACACACTTTTAGATATATTACATTATACATATAAAAAAAGGATATTATCTTTTTCATTATTAGTATCATGGACGGTTTCTTCATCATTAAAATTACAAAATATGTACATCTATCATCCTGAGATAAAAGTTTAATTTTTAATGTCCTTACTTATAATATTTTCGGAACTTTAATAGTGTAAAATATTTACCATCTAGTAGATCTTCTTTATCGAGATAAATAACGCAAAGAATTATTTAAAGAGGTTCTCTAGTTTGGATGAGTGGTTTTAGAACCATTTTTAAGAATTTTTTTCTTTTATACTATATATTCTATTGATGCCCGTGCATGCGTGTGTATATGTGTATGGGAAAGAGAGAGAATGTCAATCACGCTAAAATTTTTTGTCTGTAATAACATCAATTGTTAAAATACCGATAAATGTAGGCTCCTTCGCATTGACTCGATAAATCCTGTGAAGATAAATCAATCTCAATGACAAGACTTCATATGAGTATTAAGGACAGTTCGTGTGATGAAACCTTTATTGCACTGAAGACAAACGTACGGTCGTTCGCCCGTGTGATATCGCTTGTGAACAACCAGAGTGGATCTCTGCGTGAAGGCCTTGCCGCATTGGTCACATGAATACTTCCGTTCTCCAGTGTGGGTAACATTGTGGGTTCTCAGCATGGTGTCACAGGCGAAACATTTACCGCATACTTCGCAGGTATACGGTTTTTCACCGGTATGCGATCTATTGTGAATTTCGAGGCCCTTCGCGGTTTTCAGCTCCTTGCCGCACAGTGCGCAAAGATACTTGCGTCTCTCGTAGTTCGATGGGACACCATGAGTCCTGACTTTGTGTTGCTTCAGTATCGACCTATATTTATAAACCTTGCCGCAAACGTCGCATTTGTGCTCGAACTCGTTCTCGCTAGATTCCTCAAACTTCCCGTCCGATGCAGGATCATAATGATAGAGACGATTGTGTTCCTTCAAGCTGTATAACATGCTCTCATAACATCAATGTCATCTTGATATCGTAAAGTTAATTGATTTAAAAAATTGTAATAGAACTTTTTTTTAATCTCAAAAGGAGAACAAAGGAGTTTTATACTTCATTTTTTAAAGCAGGTTGAGGATAGGATTTCGATAACAAATAAATCAAACAAATAAAAAAGGATGATAGTTGTTTTAACATGAGACAATCGAGAAACGGTCAGAATTAAACTTCTTCCGAATATAAAGAATTTAGAAAAATTTAAACATATGGATTTCGTTTAAAAAACATTATATAAATAAACTTTACAATAACAGCAGATTCAACGATTAAGAAGATATACCTGTACACGTCGTTGAAGATGCTACCGCAAGCGTTGCATCGCTGCATGAAATCGTGCGTCGCCGTATGTACGATCAGAGTGTCCTTATCGATAAAATCCTCGCTGCAAATCTCGCACGTGAATTCCGAGGTTCGGTGACGTCGCCGTTTGTGTTTTTTCACATCGATCACACTGACACCCATAAAGCTACACTGGGTACATGGCACAGTCTTTGGCGTGTGCGATTTCTTCACGTGAGCGTTAAGCATGAACTGCTGAGGATAATTCTTCCCACAGGTAACACACTTGAAAGGACGATCGATGCCATGCGCTATCCTCAGGTGTGCAACCAGTCTGGTAACGAAGTGAAATTTTGCCTGACACAATTCGCAGATCTTCTCACCACCCTCAAATCTGCAACCAAAACAACAAACGTTTGAATGATTATAGATAGAGCTTATTGTTAGATCAACAATTTACTTATAATTTACTTTCTAAAATAAATTATATCAGATTTATATAATTATTTTTTCTAACACAAATTGCTGTCACACACAAATAGAATATAATTTGAATTAATAAATAAATATCCATAAAGATTCATTAAAATATCAGAATTTTCGATTAAGAATCTACAAAAATTTTAGAAATAAAAATTGAAAACTTATCCTTTTACATCATATTAAATTTAATTTTTAAATTAAATTTAGTTTTAACATTTATTAGTTATACTTTTTAAATAGCACTGAAGAAAATAGTTAATTTTAAATCTTTTATCCAAAAAATCTAAATCTATTATAATTTCTCACATTTCCTGGTGAGAACTATAAATTGAATTTCTCAAAATAAATTATGAAATAAAAACTTGAACTTCTACGATATTTGTAAATTTATTATCTTCTGTGAACATGAAATGCATGCAAGAGATATATTATATATTATTAACATACATATATATATATATATATATTATATGCAACTCACTTCTGTCCAAGATCAAGCAAGTCCTCATTCTTCATCTTCAAATCGTGATTATTCGTCCACTGGCTGCAATGATCGATACACATTTACATAAAGCGTTGTAAAAAGGTAACTGTAATTCTACTAACATTCAATCATTACCTATAAAATCGATGCTTTTGTAAAATGCGTTTTCGCAGCTGAAAAGAACTCACACAGATCACATCGTAGAAAGCCACAGTGACGAATAAGATTCAACCGCAAATTTTAGAAACAAAATATCATTTCTCGTTCCAAAATTATTTATATTACATATATTACAAAATATTACAATCGCAGTCAAAAAGTTTTAACTAGAAAGATCGAAATGTATCGGATTCGTCGTAAGTTTTCCATTTCATAGCTTAGGTTGCGTGATCTTCTCATGCATTTTGCGATGTCTCTTGAGCGTGGTATTGGACACAAATCCTTTATCACAATCCTGACATTGATAAGGTCTCTGACCCGAGTGATACCGCAGATGAAAAACCAGGGATGTCCTTTGCGTGAAGCCGCGGCCACACTGCGGACATACATGCGGTTTATCGCCTGTGTGCGTCCGTTTGTGAATATTTAGATTCTCCTTACTGGCAAATCTCTTGTCGCACATGTCGCACTCAAAAATTCTCTCGCCCGTGTGACTGCGTTTGTGCACTAACAGTCGTCTCATCGATGATAATTCCGCACCACACAAGTCGCACAGGTACTTCGCCGGCGCGTTCGTGAAGCCGTGCTGATTCTTCATGTGCCTATCCAGCAGTCTCTTATATACAAATCTCTCCAGGCAAAACTTACACGTATGCCTCGTCCTCGCGTTCCTCGCAGTCGCGGCGGTTTGTTTGCCAGTGTGATGCATCATTAGATGTACTAATAGATTCTTCTTGTATTTGTAATGCTTACAACAGTGTTCGCAGCGATACAGATTCTTGTTGGTGTGTGTATTCTGGTGCTCTATATACTCAGTCCTGTAATAAAAGCCCTTGTCGCACGTCTCGCACTTGAAGCTATAGTCCTTCGCGTGTCGGCGACGATGGCACTCCAGATTGGACTTCTGGTTAGTGCTGTACTCGCAGAGATCGCAACTGAACATCCTCAGTCCCGTGTGAATTAGTTTGTGGCGAGCTATATTCATCGGGCTGCGAAATGTCTTGCTGCATTCATCACAGCTAAATGCCCGGTCGATGTTGTGCAGGTTCTTCAGATGCTCCACGAGCTTCCGCGTATGACGGAAGCGAGCCCCGCATTTGACGCATTGGTGAACGTCGCGTGATCTACCCCGTCTTTGCCTGAAAGGAGAGGAGAATAATGAAATACACGTTTCACGATGGAATTTTATAAGAGAACAAAAATTAACTAACGATTTTCCACTGAAAAATTAACTAACTACATTTTTGTAATAGATTTGTAATAAAAAACTTTAACAATTTACTTTTACCTCTTCAATTTGTGTTACCTACCCTTTCATCACTTTGTCTTGAACAAATAGATACGATAACATACGAAACTTTAACAATATATTAACAAGATACTGACGTAATAATTCTGAAAAGTTTAGCAGTTTTTTTTTTGTAAAATTGAAACCGAAACTGTAAATAAGAATAAATCATTTCCGTTTCGTTATTAAATCGGCATGATATTTTTACAAGATTTTGTAAATAAATTTAAGATATTTTCACGCAAATTTCAAAAACCAATTTTTAAAAAGAAATGACTTTTAAATGATTTTTAAAAAGAAATTATTCGTGTTACAACTGTTACAATATAATAAATATAGTATCA